TTTGACACCTATACTTCATTTGTTTTCCAGAATTTTTTCTTCCCCAGCACTTATTCCTAAATCTCTCTCCCATTAGCTTTCAGATTCACATTATAACAGTTATCCACCATTACCCGCTCCCCTAGCACTGAGCAGATGAGAGGTACAAAGTCATCATACAGCCCAAGTCCCACCCAAGTTCTCAGGGCAGATAATCCCTCCCTCCACTCTCCTCACAGGCTTTCAGACTATTGTTACAGCGCTTATCTTAACCACTGCTTTGGAAAGTCTCCACCACTCAAAACATTGCAGTAGTCACCAGTCTACTGCATTGTAAGCCCAGTCATCAAGAAGCACACAACCAGGCCATGTCTTGCGATGATTTTGCAATACCTTGACCAGTAAAGAATTATCCTATCAAAGAAAGAGGGTTAACAATCAGGATACCCTCTTATCACAGGCTCTCCCCTCAATCTGTCACACACCAGTATCACACTTATAAGTCTTCTGGCTATGAAACAATGATTAGACCAAGATACCGCTAAAGTAACATTACATCTGAAGAGGGATAATTTTCTTTCTCCTTCACCTCCTGTTGAAGGTTCCCATAATTCAGATCCTCTTCTATAGGAAGAAAAGGCTAAGATTTAATGCCATATCCATACTTTTCTATATGTGTTGCTCCCTCAAGTTACTACTTAATATAAAAAAAAAAAAATTGAGGGAAAAATGCAAAATTATTACTTATCATATTATGTGCTTCCTGTATTACAGCATTAAAAATCCTCTTGTATACTTGTTGGAGGGCTCTGCTTTATTTCCTGTAATAACCTTTCTTTCAGCTCCCTGAATTTAAAACTCTCTGGTTCAGACACAGGATCCTTTAAACCAACCACTTAATGCAACACCCCACAGGAGTATCCTTTTTGGTTGTGCTTCAATGCAGGATTGCAAGAGCAAGCACATCACAGAACCAAGAAGTAACTTGGCAGAACTCCCTTCGCTTTCACACACTTCTATTTCAAACACAGAGAAGATGTTCCATGAATGACATAATTAAATAAACGAATTTTGGCATCCTCACTGTTGGACACTCTATGTACAGTAAGGAATAGATGAATATTAAGGATTTTGCTGAGGTCAGAATACTCATAAGCCTTCCACACAGATTCTCCTATATTCACAAGACCTCGCATTCCAGCTTTTCAGTCAGAGCAGATTTTGTCTCTGTCCTTCAGCCAGCTCACAGGCTCTCCCATCGAGCTTCTAGTAGTCCCAGCACTGGCCAACTTTGAAATTACTGGATGAAGTCAGAAAGAATTATGTATGCAGCAGACACAATCACATTTCATAATTTCCTAGGAAAGGTGGCTTTAAAAAAAATACACTAAAAAAACAGCCCTATGGATACTTCTCTGAGGTGCTTTTGAAGCTAATAAAATTAACAAGGAAATAAAGAAAAATAACAGCAGTACAGCTCTGCACACAACGAGCTGTAGTTGTGTAAATTAATCAGAGACTGAAGATTATTTTGCTTTGATTTCATTATGACGTTGATATTAATTCATCTAGCATGTATGACTTACGACAAAAGGCCTTAAATTATGATTTAGGTGCTCAGAGAAGCCACTAACAACAAGACAAGAACCAACAGCTCAAGATTAATAATAATTCAGAAATAAATTACAAGGGCAAGCAGCTAAGCAAAGGAACAGGTTACCAGCATTGCGATGCAATTAGTCACAATATCAACACTGGGTGTCTCTCCAACAAATATGCTGCAATTTAGCTACACATGGTCAGCTATGATCACATTCAAGCAAAAAAGAAAAAAATTACACCGTTACATGACACAATGGCCAAATTCTTCACTTCTTGCTACTCTAAAAGTTGACAAACATCAAAACAATCCTGTATAGTTGAAGTTACTTTTAATGTGGACAGAGAAAGACACTAATGGAATGCCAAAAAAGAAAGTGCTCACTCAAAAGCCAAACTTCTGCTTATAGACAGCTCTTTGCAAGTAGCAGTACTTCTCAGAAGTGTTCATCTTACATCTTGTAAAATCTACATCTATCCAGAGTAGATAATAAGGTAACACGTTACAAATAATCCTTTTTCAGTGCTTTGCCCGAAAGAATGAAACAGATACTTGCCAGCCAAAGCTTACACTCAGAAAGAAGGGGTTGCCTGGGTTTGGGTTAGGCTGTTTCCAGAGGTAGAGCAACTCTTATCTATGGCTGGCTTTCTTCAGAGAGCAGGTAATATTTCAGGGCACAAAAAGAAGATGGAAAACTCTGCCTTACTCTCTCCCACTCCGCTAAAGTAACCCTGAAAACAGGCAAAAACATCCTGCGCTCCCTACTCCCACATTATAATAATTCATTTTGAAAGAAACTGATCCAGAAACAACTGAAAACTAGGAGAATTTCCCACTGATTTCAGTAGGTACCGGGTCAGGACAACGTTCCCATGGGGTGACTAGTAAACATCAATCTGATAGAAAAGAAAAAGACAAAGTTTAAAGACAGCATAGAAAGTGGTCTACTCATTTATACACAGGAGCTTCTGGAAGATGCCACAGTCAGTACTGCAGAATTCCCTGAAACACTTCTGGAACAACTAAAATTGTTCTCTGACGTGCATCTTACAGGCTTGGCTGTTCACGATTCTGTTGGTCCTCCTTTACTAGACAGATTAATTTCATAACCTATAAGAAAGCAATTATGGGATACACTTGCCTGCCATCTTTGATATCTTAATTCTTAGTAGCTTCTCTCCAAAATAAAGACTTCCTGCAGTGTTGCAGGTTTCTGAGCTACGATACGCAAGTGTTAAGTAGGTAGAAAAAGACCCACTAAGCAGCTCATTTTTTCCTTTTTATTTCCCTAAGGATAAACAACTAAATGCTTGATGTAACACCCAAATTAGGCAGAATTATCTGACAACTGCCTTAGCTGCAAAGGCAGTCCTTGCAGCCTCAGGTAGGTCTTCCATTTTATGTCATTTTCCCTCTCCCTTCGGAGATTTCAGGCCCTGCTGGACTGCTTTTGCTTCTGGTGCTTTGGTCACAATTTTTAAAGGTCTAAAATCATGACTTCCCTTTCACCATAGAGCCCTCCCTCGAGTTCCTTGTCCCATCAATACAATCAGGTACACTATTGTTACTTGAGGTCGTTTTATTTTCTGATCTGTTTGATACAAAGGGAATTAAGTGCTACTAACTGGTACTTCCCATTCCTTGATTCACACTTCAGGCTAGATGACTTCCAAGAACTTCTGCATTGAGATTGCCAAGATTAATGAGGACAACATAAAATATGAATCCTGTCTTCTTTTCAATAAGTGTTACTAAAACAATGTAACTGTTTGATACCTATGTCACATCAAACTCCTTATTTACAGGCGACAGAAAAATCATTTTGTGCACTTTTCCCACTAGCATTCCTTTGCAATCACTGCAGTATGTCAAACAAATATGTCCAACTCCATTAAAAATATATTTGAATCTTTTTTCTGAATATATTCCCAAATTTATGTAGAAGATCTGTTTGAGTTGTCACTTATTCAAACAGAAAACCAAGTTTAAAGAAAATGCTCATGAGCTGTAGACAGACAATCCTGTGAAAGGGGAGAGGACAGGAAAATTGGCATCTTTGTAATGCAGCCTTTTTTTTTTTTTTTTTTTTTTTTTTTTTTTTAACTTTTAACAGATCCTTTCAAATTCTGTATCAAATGAAATACTTAACGGGTAAATATAACAAAGTTAAACCACTGAAGCCTTCAGAGTAAAGAAAGTATTGAATAAAAACAGACAAGATTTGTATAAGCATTCAGAGTCTACCAGCCACTTATCAAAACAGCCATAACTTTAAGAAGGAATCAAGCTCTAAACAGTGCTGCAGGGGAACCACAATAGTCAGGACCTCTGCATAGTCCAACAAGGGTTTCTGAAGGCAAAATCTGACTCCAGAATATTTGCTCTAGATCTGAAAGGGGCTGAGCAGAATTTGAACTCTGCAAAATGTCAGAAAAGAATAAAACATTTGTATTGCTATTAGTGAATTTCAGTAGAGGGGTCACGAATTTGCTGTGATCTGTTTAGAAAGAAACAAAGTCTGATTTGATCCAGCATCAAGGACATTACATCATCATGTATTTCAGAATCTGGCATTAGACACCAACTATTTCACTACAATCAGCCAAGATTTAAGATCATTGCATGCAGAACTGTAATATCAACAGATGAAAATATTACTGTTTGTTTCCAGCCATAGTGATGGAGAGAAGTACAAGGCAAGCACTGTCTACCAACTGACAACTTACCACACCGAGATCTACACCCGTTCCTGAGTAAACTTGTGCTGCAGAACAACACTCATCAACCCAGACCTTCCAAGACTCATCATAAATAAAAGCAAGCATAAACTGTGAGCAGTATACTTTACAACTTAACAAACACATGCATCATATTACAGATTGGACAAGCCCCAAGCATGTCTTCCGTGAATAATCAAGTACCAGTCTTAGCATTCCAGCTAGCTGTTGGGTTTGTGGGTTTATTGTTTTTGCCTCATTTCAGAGGCAGCATCTACCTCAGTTGAGGCACCCAGCACAAAGACAATAAAATGCAGAAGCACTTAACACAGTGTTCTCTGAGGAATTATATTACGATATTGTCTACGTACCTACAGTTATGACAACTATTGTAGGTGAAGTTCTATGAAGTATTTTATCCACATACGCCTTTTCTCTGCATGTACCCGTTCTACAAGAGCACACTTCACACAACATTCAGTTTCACTATATTCAAAAAAAAAAAAAAAAAAAAAAAAAGCATTCCATTCAGAGCCTTGAACCAACCAATTCATCTGGTGGTTATTTGCAAAATGAACACATGTTCAAGCAGTGTGCATGCATTAACACATATGCATTTAGTAACACTATTGTCTGTGGGTCTCCGAGCACAAGTGAGAAATACTAAGCATATCTGGACTATGTGAAGTAGATATTTAACCTACCTCATCAAAGCTGCTGTCTTCTTTCTTCAAGGCTTTAAAATAAAAGGAAAAAATAAACAGTTATCTGTGCTGCATTTCAATGAGAACAAAGTAACTAACTCCAGGAAAGAGAAAAACAGAGCAACTCTTTCCTGTTATAATAGAAAAGAACATGCTGGCATGAATAACAATTTTACACTCAAAATATGAAACTAAATGGTATGTAGGACTGCACAGCATGTTTCCAAGAAACCACATTTACATATTTATGAAATATATTATCTTTCCAGGTTAAGGAAAATAAAAGTCCACGCATTTCTTTTAATTCTTAGTGAGCATGAAAATACCTTCCTGAGAGCCTGACAACTTCATACATCAAAAGCACTATGAACCAGCCACATATTCTTTGCTAAGGATACATCTTTGCACTACAGTATGATGTTGTAGCAGGCCTTCCCCCCTCCCCTCCAATATTAATTTCATTAAAGCACATGAGATTTTTTTCTTATCCTATCAACTAGCACACAACCAACAAAAAAAGGAAGTATGAAAACAGTTCCAAACACATGTGAACAGCTGCAGCAAGAACGACATAAGTAGCTCTAAAGCTGTAGCAAGCACTGCCCTTATGACTTTGATCCTTCAGCATACTGGGTGTCTTTACATCAGTGCCCAGCACCACTGAAAATCTAGACTGGGTAGTTTCCACTTCTACATGCTCCTTCTCCCTTCAGAATCCCTTCCAAACCCTGTGCTCAGGGATTAGAGATTTCCCCGGAGGTGCTCAACGTGAGCCAGGCCCTGGGCAGCCTGATCTGCTGAGGGTGGCCCTGCCCACAGCACAGAGTGGGGCTGAGTGGGCTTCAACATCTTTTCTAGCCCAAGCCATCCTGTGTTCTATGAAACAGAAAGAATAACAATAAAAAACAAAACTCTGGCTGCCACAGCTGTAACACAGAGTAACTGAGGCAGGGGAATGCTGCACTGCCAAAGGACAGTGCTGCAGCTCTGCAACCCTGCCAAGGGCTGTGAGCTACACACCACAGCTCTCCTTCTGCAGGAAAGCACACATGTTCCAGCCTTTGTTTGCTCTCATACTGGCATTTCTTCAGGACACAAAAAAGTGACTTCGCTCAGATTGCTGGAGATTACTCATCTAGATTTCATGATCGAGAGAGAGAGAGAAAAAAAGAGAGACTTTGCTGAGAAGTTTGGACAGGCAGACTGCACATTTTTACCATGAAATGGATTTTTATGGTTGTGAATGCCTGACAAGGCATTTTCAGGCTGCCAATCCCATGCCCTCAAAAGTTATGAGGCAGGACATTAAAAAAAAAAAAAGACTTGTGGAACCATTTTTAAGTACACATTTTTAATTCTTTTAATTTACCTCTCAGGTAATGACAACACACAGGCTATAAATACAGTCTATGACACCCCTGGGTCACGCTGACAAGCTGTTGTTCCGCACCAAAACTCACAGCTTTCGTAAGACCAAAACGTTTCAGGAATAACCAAACAACAGATAACAACAAAATTCTCAGCAGAACAAGAAATGGGAATCTGTGCACATTTCTGGCTTGTCTTTACTTCTACTCTCCACTTTAAAATAATAATAATAATAATAAACTGTTTACAAATGCACTTCTCATTACCTCAGGTATGCGAGCTATGCGGGCGTACAAGAGAGGAGATGGTGGAGATAACCTTTGTGTCAGTGAGGAGCGGGTAGCGCAGCACAGCGCGGGGGGGGCTGGGGGCTGCCAGGGACAACTTTTGTGCCCTTTAAGCAACTGCAGCAGGGCTTCTTGCCTGCTGTGCCCTTCCCAGCCAGGTGCTGGGCTTGGACTACACAGATTGCATAAGGAAAAAAAGTTAAATGGCATGAGCTGAAAGGATCTCAAAGTATGGTTTGGTACTATACTCACTCCAACAGACGCATAGCCAGGGACTCTTTATATAACTACAAGATGATGGTAATTCTATAAAATTACTGGTAATTTATTTTAATTACATAATTATCAAAGGGTAAAACTAAGAAGCAAACTTAATAAAGGTTTAAATGCTAAAAGAAACAGTGAATCAAGTCAGCCTCACAGAGTTGGTTAACATCCAGTATCATGTGTTTGTGTGTACGGGCAACTGTATGTATGTAAGCAAGGAAAGGATTATTTGTAAACTAATTTGGCTGTTTGTATAAGAAGGGATGCACTGCCAAGAACTTATCAATAAAAAGAATTCTGTAAATTGTTCAGATTCCAAGCAACGTGAGTTCTTCCAGATGCGCCACATTTTAGGAGGGATACTCCTTGTATCACCAGAAACCTGCTAGCTGTGAAGGGATGCCTTTGTTGCAAAGACAGTTCATTCTTCCAGAACTGTGAACTCATAATTCTGCAATAGAAGCCATCCTGCCAATTTCAGAATACCTGCTTCAACTTTGCACAAAAGGCCACATGCATTTCTTCCAGCAGCCCACAGTGCTGTACCACCCTTTACCAGGCCTGCAAATGGGACAAGGCGAGTGCTCAGGGTGAAGGCCAAGGCAGACAGTTTCACACATCACATTCTTCAGCTCATAAAGCTGAAAGAAACAATTCCTGTATCAGGAACTCCAACAGCTATGGGCTGGATCAGCATTTTGCAGTATATATAATACAGATAAATATCCACCATCCTCTGCCAGTTTCTGGATGCAGTGGCTGAAATGTATCAGACCAAAGTTAAGAAAATGGGCCAAGACTGCTCAAGGCTATAACTAGTACTGAATAATGGCTCTTTTCTGTGCCCTGGGGATGACTGAGCTGGTTTTAAGGCTAACCCCTTTCATTTGAAGATGCTGGGGGAATATCCCGAACTTCCACACCACATTTCATTGTTTTATTCTTCTGGAAAATAGCTTCAAACATTACTAAGCATACTGTTGCACACTGGGAAAGAAGAAAAAATAATAATAAAAATCAGCATTTGGTTTCCTTGCTGATTTTCATCTTCTCAAATAGAGAGAATCACTCAGTGGGGAGAAAGAGGTCCTGAAGGCAGTTACTGGCTATTAACTTACAAGCTCTATCAAAAATAAACTGCCAGTGACAACTCTGAGCTCTTCCACCACTCTCACTGAAGAGGCTAATGGGAATACCGATATCAAAATTAAGGGGCTCTGTAGGACTAGAAGAATCGTATTTAGCAGCTGAGACCTAGTAGCACTGAGGGATGCCCCATGCTGCCCTGCCCAGTTAAGCGAGATGCCTCTGTTGCTGCAGAGGAAGATGCCATCACTTTGCATCACCAGCACCAGTGTTCATAATGCTGCCGGGTACCTAAACCTATGAAAACATTTACAAGAAAAAGCTAAAAGACCATCACAAGCTTATAAAAAATTATAAGGGAATGGGTGACTGACAAAGCTGAAGATCAGATACAGATTCACTCAGTCACTTGCTGACCTGACCAAGGAGCGCCCAACTGCCAAAAAGAGATGTGAAAACAGCGTAACAAAAGTAAAAGCTTTCTCTACTGAGGGTTTGGTTTCCTCTCTTTAATCTCAAAACAGAAGTGGAGCATGTGTCGCACCTGAGCATTTCTTGGTACACAAACTGAGAGTTTTGAACAGAGGCTCACTTTGCTTGAGCTTATCTGCGGCTGTGGCTATCAGGGAGCGGGCTCAGTTCAAACCTCAATCTGATAAATCAGAGCTTTTGCTCACCATGCACTTATTAGCGTGATGCTCACACTACTGGAGCATCTGTGGGTGGAACAGCTTTGCTGACATAACAACAGAACAGCCCCAACAGGCAAACAGCTCTGGTACCACACAAAGAGCCCTGGTACACAGAAGGTACAACAATGTGGACACCTAAATCAGCCCAAAGCTCTCACAGAAACTGAAGTATTTCATTAGTTAAAGCAACCAAAAGAGACAATCACTCGAGAAAGCCACTAATACATGCAAAAGTTAGCACTCAGAGAGGTCATGGTGCCAAGAAGGCATTAGTGGGACTGATTCTGCTATGGTAACACAGCACTTCCATTTAAAGTGTTGTCTTTGTTAATGACTTCCACTTGGCAAAGCCTGCCCACAGATCTGCACCAGGCTGTGTGTGTCTGTACGTACACACAAGCATGTGACAGGCCAAACACCTGGGTGGCTTCTTAAAATCAAATTGGTGAAATGCCTGTAACTGATGTAAGATTGAATATTGGTGAGAGATATTCTCACATGGAAACAGAGGGACATGCAACTGTGACTTAATACCCACTTCAGAACTGAAACATTCACCTTTGAAATCCTTTTGCAAACATGAATGAGCTGTTTTCAGTCTTACCCACCTAGCAGTGGGACCGAACAGAGGAACATACCCGATGTCAGATGCTCTCCTACAATTCAAGCTAAAGGTTCACAGAATCACTGTAGTTGGAAAGGCCTCTAAGATGACCCAGTCCAACCACTGACTCACCCCGCAGAGCCCGCTGACCGTGTCCCTCAGCGCCACATCCACAAGTTTTGTGAACACCTCCAGGGACGGCAGCCCCACCACCTCCCTGGGCAGCCCGTGCCACAGCCTCACCACTACGTGGACATCACAGGTTTTCACGTGTTGTGCGATTACCTGCCAGGGCTGCGAGGGAGCACAGCTCAGATACAGACGGAGCGGCTCTGGGAGCAGAGACGCGCCCGACGGCGCCCTGCCCTGACGGGGTGAGCGCGGGGCCAAAGCTGTGGCAGGGCCTTTCCCGCCGGTTTTGCGGCCTCCAGCTCAGCCCCACGCCGCCGCCTCGCACCTCGCCCTGCTCCCCGGCTCTGAGCACGCCGCTGCGGGCAGCCGGCAGCAACGCCTCCAACCGGCGCTGGATGAAACCCAGCATCGCGCCCCGGGTCGGCAGGAATACGGACCCGAAGGCGACAGAACTCTTTAGCATTGTTCTCAACAAAACCCGGAGCGAAACGAGCGGTGTCAAAGCCGAACGCGAAGCGGTGGCACAGGGAGACGCCGTGAGTATCGCTGCCTCGGGATGCTGCGCGGCACGGCTCGGCGGCGATGACAGACTGACTTCTTTTGTCTGCCCTCCCCAGTCTCCTACCCGGCTCTATCAGCCTCAGCATCTCATGCCTCAACTTACAGGAATGCGCAGCCGGAACGAAAAATAAGCGGCCAGACCCGCAGCCACACAATAACAAATTCGCTTCTCCGCATTTTTCTCGAGGTTTCACTTTGGCAGCGCGCTGGGCGATGCCCATTCTCACTTTGCTAGACTGTTTCGGGCTAACTCGATCACGGGCTGAGCGCTCACACGAGCACACAGCAGGGAAACGCCGATCTTCCCGAGCGGTACCCGCAAGAGGCTGTTACCCGGCACCCCCCCCCTCAGCCCCGCGCTCCCCCCAGGACGCCGGGCAGCGCCGCGGGCCTCACCTATTCGGCTGAAGCTCTCCGACAAAGTTCTCCGCAACTTTTTCATCCTGCTGATCTTCTCGGCGGACTGTGAGTCTATCATGTCGCACATCGCGGGCCCCTCCGCCCCGAGGCGGGACGGCAATGCGAGCCCTGCCCGGGAGCCGCCGCCTGCAGCGGGACACCCCGGCCCTGCCCGGGGACGGCTCCCTACGGCGCGGCAGCCGCTGCGCTCCCCGCACGGCGCATAGCTCCGGCCCGACCGCTCGCCGGGCTGCCCCGGAGGAGCGAGATGTAAAGTGCAAACGGGAGCAGCGCAAGGAAAGTGCGGCCAGGGGGTGACGGATAGAAGGGAGGAGGGAAGGGGGGAGGCAGGGAGGGAGCCGGCGGAGAAAGGAGGAGGAGGAGCCCCGCGCCGTGGCCGGGAGGGAGGGAGGGAGGGAGGGAGGAGGCGACCGGCCCTGCTCGCGGAGGCTGCGAAGCCGAGCCGGGCTGCGGCCCTGGACCGCCTACAGGGCGGTGTCCCACCACGCCCCGCCCCACCGGGCCGCTGGGCTCTGGGACAGGCGGGGGCCGGGCACAAGGTGCCCCCAAACGGAGCCGTCCTCCCCCCTCTGCCCGGAGGCTGCTCTCCCAGACGGAGCCCTAAAGGGCGGTGTGAGATCTTTATGTTGGCGGTGCGAGGAGGCGACCGTCCTGACGGAGCTCCTGGCTTTGGGCTGATGCTCGAGTGGCTGTGGGAGAAAGGCACCTGGTCTGTGGCCCTAAATGCAGCCAGGTAAGGCACCCTCAGATGTGATACTCTGCGACTTAATGAGCGCTGAGAGCTTTTGATCTTGTTAACTCGATTGAACCAACGTTACTGTAAAATAAATCAGTTTAACCCATCAGGATGGATATGTGTCTGGTCTAAAATAGAAAGCATGAACTTTTTGAGAACAAACATGCTTTAAAACTGAGGTTTGCACGTTTCAAATGGTGTTTTAATGCATGTTATCCGGTTAAAATGAACTTGGGCATAATGAGGCCAGTTAACACAATTTGCAGGATTAATTTGTGCCCCAGCTCAGAGTGGCTAACTCAATTTTAAAAGCACATTTGTCTAGACAGGCATTTATGTGGGCTGGATCTGAGCCATCTGCAATTGTGAACAATTTGGGATCAGACCTGTCTGTCACAGAGATGGCAAATGAGGGGACAACGTGAGGCCTTCCTAGGAGTAACATTGCTATCTGCTGTGTATGTGCTTTTGTGATGTGCCAGGTCATGGCAAAGTGTCCCACCATAGAGCTGTGCAGAAGGTTGTAGGACAGCCTGTGCACAAACCCTGAATCTATAGCTTGATAGAAAGGCTTTCAGAGGTGTGAGTCCTACTGACTTTCTTAGCATCTTTGAAGCAGAAGCTAAAATCCTGATTTCATGTTGGGTATGTTGTATTATGGAAAAAAATGGTGGCATTGGGAATTGAAACACTGAAGAGAGGAATACAGGAATATAAGTGTAAAAAATTAAGAAGAAACAGACAAGGGACTGGGAGGACACAAGCACTTCAGGATGTTTCATTCAGCAGTATGAAAGATGACATTTAAGTCCTTAATAACAGTCAAAGAGTTTGATCTCTGCTTACATCTGGTGCTAGTATTTGTGAGTACTCCTCTGGGTGAAGAGGAAAATGCCATCAGCACAAAACACATATTCTGGTCCAGAAGCAAACGCTGAGCATTCAAGCTCTTCCACTCCCTGTGCATATAACTCATGCCGGGGGCCGTGCTGCCCAGCAGAGACTTGCACGAACACTGCCCTAATTCAATCTGTGGCTGTCTTTGGGCAATTAGGGATAGAGTTTCTGAGGAACTTGTAATTAAGTATGCTTAACTGACAGATGCTGTCTTACCAACATGAGCCAATGCTTCTAGCACCTAGTGAATTTGGAACAACATTCCCATTTTTCCCCGTGCTTCTAGGTAAGCTATAACTCATAAAGTCAAGCCTCTGCCAGAAGAGCCACAGTGCGCTTTGCTTTCTGTGACTGTGTAGCACTCAGAATTCCTGACAAGTGTCTGGCTTTACAGCTGCTTGGGAGTAATCTATGAGTGCATGTCAAGCTCTTTTAAATCAAGAAAAATTTTGTCTAAATTAGACATCAGCGTGGTGCCAGCCAGAGAAACCCAGTCCTTGTCTGCTGAAAATGGTACAATCTCAGTCCGCAGAGACATTGCACAGATGTGCACAACCAGAGAGGACGAGCTTGAAGCTGTGCAGAAACCTTCATGCTGTGCACTGCAGCTCTGTTATTCTTCCCTCTGTGGTTTCCACTTGACAGAAATGTGTGCTGGAGCCCCTCTTTGTTCTTTCTCCCACCCAAACCTTCTCTATTTCCAAAGGCACTCATGCTGAAAATTCATTGGATTCAAGCATGTGAAATCACTTTTGTAGCTTTGATCAAGTTCAGAAGTTGGTGGTTATTTTTCTTCTTCTGTATTTCCACCACCCATCTCAGGAAGCCAGCAAGGCAGAAAGACGTAATTAGCAGACCACAGAGATAGCAGCTATTATACTGATGACATTTTGCTTCCTTGTAGGGGCAAGTTTTCACCTCTGTTTTCTATGTTGAAGTCTTGTAATATGTGGCATAAGAAAATGCACATGAACAAAATGCTAAAGCACATTGCTGTTGGTCACCTTCTTCCATGAGCATTGCATGGAGTTAAAGCACGTTTGCATTTAATGGGACAGCTGCAATATAAAAAGCCAGGCACTTTATTTAAAGCATCCTTTTTCACATCAATTCCCCAAAGATACACCCTAGATAAAAGCCCGCTTACTCTTACTTCATGATTCCCATCTTTCCTTGCTGTCTTTACTAAGAATTCACTGTGAGCCTTGACCTCTGTCACTGCCACTGAGATGAGTGGAATCAGGCTGAAAATGTAAGGATTATCAAGTCCAATATTTGGCAAGCTATCAATTGCAGGTTGGGCAACGGGAAGTATTTGGCTCCATGCATCACGTAGGGCAGTGAGCCTCATTGTCTGAACGTTCTGCACTGAGGTGTGGGTTGGGTTTGTTATTTCTGGAGGAGAGGAGGCAGCAGGGTAGGCAGTTTGTTTATTATTGTGTAAACTAACATATTGTTTAAAACTATAAACAGCATGATAATGGGTCTGGAGTATGTGGAATGGCAGAAATCTCCTTTCCGGATATAGATAGGGTGGCCACAGTCACCCAGTTCATTAGTTGCAGGGTAAAATAAGATGCCAAAAAACAAATCTGCAGCACATGGTGCAGGTGGTGGCTCACAGGGTAATGCAGCGCTGTGCATCTGCCAGCTCTCAGGCACTGGCTGTTTGGATTCGTAAAGTCATTGCACGGTCTGAGCTCTCTCAGCTCTCCCCACACCCAAACCCTGGCATTTTTCCGTAGGGACACTAAAAGGCAGCGTGCGTAAGTTGCAGTCCTGCTCTATTGAAGCAGGGTCAGGGGGTGAAATTTCAAAAACCTGAAAAATCATAACCCAGAAACCATGAACAGGCAGTGGGTGTTCATGGAAGGGGCAGTGAGTAATTTGAAGCTCTGGATGCACAGTGTGCCATGCTGGGAAGCCAGCCCTCCTCTTGAGCTCACTGCCCACAACAGGCAGCAGGGCTCTGCTGGGAAGGAGCGAGAGGAGAGGGCAGGACTGCAGGGTGTGACTCCTCCAGGGAAAACACAGCCTCATCAGGAGGTGGCTGCCAGAGGAAGCAGTCTCCACAAACCTCCTTGGCCAGCTTTCGTTTGCTGGCCTGCTCACCTTGAGAAGCTCTCCCTGCTGCAGTGGGTGGGACTGTAGGCTCAGAGCTGTGTTACTTGCTGACACAGCAATTCCTCAGTGACCCTCCTGTGATGAAGATGGATGTAAGGCCACAAAACAGCCCCTGGTCCCCCCCACCACTGCAATCTCACTTTCACTTGTCCTCTAGCAACACCCAGCTCATGATGGCTGTTATGCGAAGAGACTGCCAAGCTCGCTCACACAAACGGTGCCGTATCCTCAGGGATGTGACCTTTAAGCTCTGCTAACAAAACGTGTTAGTGACAAAAATTAAACTTCAGCGACAACACAGTACCTGTGTTACCTATATCCACATCATAAGTTGTTCCCCCCAAAAACTTCTCAGAGCTAACATATTATGTATTGCCTTTTGGTGGCTGTTATTAAATCACAGCTTTTATGAACCTGTGGAAACATACCCTGTTTGTATTCAGAGCATCCCAGATGATAAACGGAGGGCACACAGGCTCAGATGTTACATCTCAAGCCTGATGGCTGTTGTCAGTCCTTGCTCCCCAGGTTAGGAGGTGATGAGTTATGGCTCGCGTAGCTCCAAAGGCGCAGTGGAAAGTTTGTTTTCCCTTGGATCGGTGACGGGCTGTTGGCTGGGGGTGACCCCCCGAACCACCAGTTTACTTCTCCAGTACCCCCTAGTGGTCAATTTGTTTCACGTACTGCTGTGTGGAGTCGCTTTCTACTTTGCTCTGCCCTTACACTCACATTAGAGGTGGAATGACTGTAGGTGTAACATGGCATCTCAGCTCTGACGTTCCTATGTAGGTACAGTTCTTACACTTTAGGCAGCTCCCTCCTGGCATAAGTGAGTGTACTTTCATCACACTGTGTTGTGGGTTAATCCCAGTGGGCAGACAAGCACCACACAGCTGATCACTCACCATTTCATCACCCCCAGTGGGTGGAGAAAAGTAAGGGCAGAAGCAAGAAAATGCAGTGTACTTTAGTAAGGAAAGGAGAGGTGGAGAGAAATAATGAGATAGAGAGAGAGGGAAAGAGAGAAAGGGAGAAAGAAAGGGAGAAAGAAAGGGAGAAAGGGAGAAAGGGAGAAAGAAAGGAAGAAAGGAAGAAAGGAAGAAAGGAAGAAAGGAAGGAAGAATAATGCAGAGGCAATTGCTCACAGCTCCCACAGATAGATCAGTGCCCAGCCAACTCCCAGTCAAAAGGTGGCTAACCTACCCAAACCCTTTTCCTTCCTGTTTTATTGCCAATCGTGATGTTGTATGGCATGGATTAGCTCCTTCATTAGTTTGGCTCAACTGGTTCCTCATGCCTTCTCTCAGCTTTCTGCCCATCCGCAATCCATCCACTGGGCCAAGG